TGAGCTTGGGACTTGGAGTGGCTGCTAGTGGCTCCCAGCCAAGCACAAACCTGGCAGGCTGGGTGGGTCTGATTCCAGCCTCTCAGCCAGAGGCCTCCCTAAACTTTAGTGAAATAGGAGTATAGGCTCCCTGGGATGATTCTCTAGCCTTCTGCGAAGCTGCTGCTGGCTTGCTGGGATTGATCAAAGTGGGTCAGAACACTGTCAGCCAACACTGCTGACCACTGGCAGCAAAGACACACCTTGAAGTGGACCTTTTTGTCTTCTTTTCTTTTTTTCTCTTTTCCTGTTTTTGTACTGTTTTATTTTTCCTTCATTATTTGTTCAGGTTTTTACATAAGTGTGAACATGGTGCCTAGTTTTTGTTACTGTTGTTGTTCTGCTCTGTTCTGCTCTTGTTTTTCTTCCTGCCTGCACTCTTTCACTCCTGTGTTCTGGACCAGTGTCCCAAAGTTTGTGTGATTCTCCTTTGTCCTGCAGTCTTGCTTCTAATCTCTTCCCCTTCTATTTCTCTATTTTACCCCTAACTTTTTAAAAATTTTCTCCCATGAGGGAAAAATTGCCATATTGAGTGCTTATTTACTGCATACAATTTTTGGTCTGTTTTAGATTTTGTTATATAACCACAAGTCAAGTTCATATCGATAAAGTTGACAAATTAAAGGTTATCTCACTTTGTCATTTTTTGGGCTGTGTTTGGTGCTATTGTTATTGCTGGTTGTACTACATTAGCTAAAGTGACATAATTGTTCTAACCAGCTGTTGTTCCTATACCAAGACTGAGATTGCCTAAGAGTCACAGAAAATACTGTAGGCCAGGGGCAAAGAACCAGGGTATGGGCCGAGTATGCAGCAATTTCTCATTTCCAATAAACTGAAAAGGTAAGATATTGCAACAGACTCAAAACTCAAAACCCAAGTACACTTCTAAGACATAGTCTTTTCCTAAGGTTCTAAATACTAGCAATAAAGGTACTCACCACTGGCAATCTGCAGTCATCAAAGGACAACCAACACCACAGAAAAAAAATTTTGCCAGCTGTTCCTCAGGCAAATGACTAATATATAGAATATATGAAGAGCTCAAAAAAAAATCAAGCCCCCCAAACTTAAAGACCCAATCCAAAAATGGGCATGAGAGATGAATACACACTTCTCAGATTAAGTACAAACAGCAAATAAATATGTGAAAAATTGTCCAACATCCCTGGTCATTCAATAAATGCAAATTAAAACAATGCTGAGATTCCGTCTTCCAGAAAGAGTGGCTATTATCAAGAAATTGACAAATAACAAATGCTAGGTGGGCTTTGGAGAAAAAGGTGTTGGGAGCCACTGAAATTGGAAATAATTACACATGCAGGATGAAGCCAGCCTGAAAACACGGGAGCCCCTCAGAGTAAATAAGCCCATACAACTTGCTAACTGGTTGCTGGGCAGCAAGGCAGAAATTAACCAACCTCTCCAGGGTATAAATAAATGCTCTACTATTTGGGGGCAGTCCTCTTGCTCATCAGGCAAGAGGTAACTCCACCTGACCCTGGCTATCCTCTCTTGTCCTTGTTTTCTAAATCCTCTCTCTGTTTTCTCCCAGAGACCATAGAGAGACCAACTCCCATGAAAAGGAACTGTCTCTACTGTTAGTGGGAGTGTAGACTAGTGCAGCCACTGTGGAGATCAGTGTGCAGATTGCTCAAAAATACTAGGACTAGAGGATTCATTTGACCCAGTTTTCCCTTTCTTGGTATCTTCTCAAAAGAATCAAAAGCATCATACCACAGCTATATTTGCACACCCATGTTTATAGTGGCACAATTTGGCATACCCAAATCTGGGAACCAGCCCAAATACCCATCAACTGATGAATGGATAAAGAAGATGTAGTTATGTTTACAATGAAGTACCACTCTGCCATAAAGAAGGATAAGCCTGAGACGTTTCTAGGTAAGCAGATGCACCTTGACGCTACATTTTTAAGTAAAATACATTGGACAAACATGTGAAAATACCACACTGTTTCTCCTGTGTGAAAAGCCAAAAGTGTAAATAAGGGCCAAAATTTATACTAGATATTGTGAAACAGGAAGAAAATGTTTAAATGTGAACAGAAACTAGGGAGGGGAGAGAGGGGAGGGAAGGAAGGAAAAAGGTAAAATACAAAACAAGGAAAAAATGAAAACAAAGCTTTTGTAAACAGGGAGGGAAGGAGGGCTTGAAAGAGATTAGGGGAATGGGGAAATGAGGAATCAAGTTATATCATGTGCAGGCACAAATTTCCTATGATGAATGTGATCATTATGTATATCTAAAATGTGCCGATGAACTTAATTACAAAAAGAAGAGTGTTAAAATTTCCCATTGTAATAGTGAATTAGAAAATTCCTTCATGAAGTTCTTGGAAAGTTTACTTTGTATATTTTGAGCTAAGTTTTTACTTCATATGAGAAAAAAATTTTGTTCCATCATAGTTAATTAGACCTTTTCTTATTATGCACTAGGTCATTTTTTCCAATTGTCTATAGCCTTCTTTTCAGTTATATCTCTATTTTAAAGAACATAATTGCATTTTAAAATTTTTTGTTTATACATTTATATTCAGTGTAATGAATTTGGATTTTTTTTCTCCTGAGTATTTTGTGCTTTCTTTTTATTTAGTTTTCTTAGTTTCTTTGTTAGATTATTGGAAATTATTTATGTTTTGAGTATTCTATAAGTTTTATCTTGAATTGAAGTTGCATTTTTTCAAATAATTTTCCCTAACTGCTAAAATGATTCCACTATTTTCCTCATTAATCTATTTGTGTATTGAATAAACTTACTGATATTCTAATGTTAACCCATAATTACATTCCTGAAAAACAATCCAAATTTGCTCATGCCTGTCAGAAAAAAGGACATAGAAGGAATCCTCACCTTTGTTGTGGGACAGGACTATTAAAATAATAAGGACATGAACTCAGGTAAAGTATTATTAATGCATGGGGAAAAATGAAAATATCCTGTGATTTTTAAAAATGTTTTTAAAAACACTCCCACTGCCTGTTATAAATGTTTAGAGAAATAAAAATAGTACACTGATTCTTATTTAGTACACTGCAATTTAAAACATGGAAATACTGAGAAATAAAATGTTTTATTTCTTTATAAAAAGTCAGGAAAGAGTACTTTTTGGACAGTACTTTTTGTAATTTTGTTATTATATAACTTATGGAACAAACATCTTTTTTATGCTTTGGAGAACTGTCACAGATCTTTCTAACTTTGGGTTAAATTTCAGTATTTTATATTTCATGCTGTTGTCATGGTGAAATATCTCTCAGAGCTATGGAGCTTTTGAATAGTGCCCCTGCCCTAGACTGCTTCCTCCTGCACCTCAGAACCGCCATCCCCAATGATGCTGCAGGCTTGCTGTCCTCCCTGGTACGTGGACAGTAGTGTCAACATGCACAGAATCAGCTATTTATTCTATAACTTTATTCACGTTCTCTCAGAGTTTCACTTTCAGTTTTATCTCTTCTCCTTTCTTGGCCATCACTTATTCTTTGTTGGTTTATTTTCTCTTTATCCATTCAGTATGTCACATGAGCTTATCACTGAGAAAAAAGAGAAACACAACTACATGCTTTGACATCAGTGTACCAACTGCATAGCAAATGTGCCGTGACTGATCATCAGCAGGCTTTGCTAGTTTTACAATTAGTCATCAATCATAATACCGTGTTATGTATATGATTTGTGATCTGAAAAGCCACAATGGTGTTTGTGCTGTATATACATAAATTATTTCTTTTGTGTGAGTTATATACTCAACTAATTAAAAAGACCTAGAGAAGTGGCCTTCTTCTTTAAAAAAAAAAAAAAAAAGAGAAGGCTAAGAAAGGAAAGTGACAAAACTAAAACAGTTATCTGCAAAGTCTTCAATGTCAGCATCAGTAATCTGCATTGTAGCATTGCTCCTCAGCCTCTAAGACAGTGACTTATGAAAACTATCCATTCTCTCTTACTTATTTGTTCAATGATCCATTTCACAACCCAAACATTTATGGGTAAATAAAACGATATGATATAAATTGCTGATATAAATGACAAAACAAAACAAAACATCCAGTATTTGCAAAGTCACCATATTATCTGCATTGAAATACAAAGATATTTTTTCCTTTCCATCCTTCCTCCCTCATAATCCTTGCTATCATCTTCCATTTCATTTCTATCTATTCTTTCTTTCTGTGCAATAAACGTATTATGGAATCTAAGATCCCCTCCACCACAAATCTTCAGATAAAGATTTTGATCTCAATACAGTTTTCCTTTTCCAGATTCTGCACGTTTCCTGTCTATCTTGAACAATGTTTTGCTGGTAGAAAGCCAGTCCACTGAGAAACTATGGAAGGTAGGATACCTTGTTATGGGTAACCTATTTTGGAGAACACCAGTGCATTTACACCATATAATTTTCCCAAAACAAAGTTAATAAGAGTTCCATCATCACTTTCCATAGGTGTAGTTAAGTGTAGGACTCTCTTTTCCTCCCTTTATTTCTTATAATTCTTTTTTTAAAAACGTATTATATCCTGTGTCAAAGAGTGTCTCAAAACTCGCCTGTCTTATTTCAGATTATCAGAGGGAACCCTCATGTGCCACAGCTGTATGTATGGACACAGTGTCCCTGGATGACAGGGACAGTATCAGGGAGATGAATTATGTGTAAGAATGAAAATAAGGACCATTTTATTTATTTTGAAGTTTTCTGTTTTAAGAATCACAAAGTTATGTCACGGTTGAGAAACTACCAAGGTAGACTATGCTGTCTCCTGCTGTGCAAACATTTTGTGTGAGAAACATTTATTTCTTGCTCTTCTGCTGGTTTTTTGGCATCGATTTGGCTGGGTTTTATGCCACAGCACTGTGCAGTACTTGGCAATCACAATAAACTAGCTCTTGGTCCCTAAACTAGAGTGATCCCAAAGGCAGACAGCAGCCAGGCCCCTTGTCCCAGCTCAGGGTTTGTGCTCGGCTCCCCCTGCAGTTCCTGCCACTGTGTCACCCAGCGCGCAGTAGTACACAGCCGAGTCTGACGCTTCCACTGAGGCTTTCTCCAAGTGGAAGGAGCTGCTTTCTTTATCATACATGGCTTCAAACCCTTTGTTGCTTCCCTTGTCGTTGGCTTTTGAGACTCTGAAGAGGAGCTGTGGACCTTTTCCAGGGTATTGGACATACCAGAACAGGGTAGGATATACTGAGCTTTCATAGGTACAGCGCACAGTCAGGGAGTCCTTTTCTGAGAGGGTCACTTGGCCTTCTGTCTGAGCCACTGAGTCTCCAGTATTTCTTCCTAGAAAAAAAAATCAAGTTCAGTGCTTGTTACACTTATCATGATCTGGCTTCTGGCTCTTCCTGAAAAAAAAATGGTTAAAAATTTCATCAACATTATGTAATAGATGTTAAGCTTAAAGTGCCATTTTACTTACCAAACATTAAAAATAGTGCAATAATTGATCCTGGAGAACAGTTCATTGCTAAAGCCTCTGAAGACCTTGAGTCTTTTCTTAATGTAAGAAAAGTTTAAGCTCACAGTGAAAAACAGTTGTGAGCTCAGGAAATGTGTAAGTGTGTTAGGAAGATGCACCCCCTTGTGGCAAAATACTAAATTCAGTTGATTATTATTAAGCTATTCTCTCAAAAGTCAGTGCTGTATTCTTACCTCTAGCTTTTTTTTCTAAGACACCTGTTGACTGTCAAGTGATTCAATTTAACTCTAAAATTTTTCCCTTTTTAGTGCATATGGATGATTCAGAGTAATAGGCTCCATCTTGGCATTGTCATACATTTACTTTATCATACCTTGATCACATCTACCGCTATTACCCTCCACTCACCCTCCCGTATCCCATTCCTCTTTGTCTAGTCTCTCTTGTACATTCCTGACATCTTTTTCAGTATGTATATTTCTTAACAAACTAAAAATAGAAATATCATATGATCTAGCTGTTCTACCCCATGGTGTACAACCAAAGAAATTAAAGTTGGCATACTTTATGAACGTCTGCATATCTACATTTATCACACAACAACTCACAATAATGAAGTTATGGAATCAGCCTAAGTGCCCACTAATGATAAATGGATGAATAAAATGTGCCATGTATATACAATTCTCATTCAACCATAAAAACATGAAATTATACCCTTTGCAGGAAAGTGGGTGGAACTAAAGAGCATTATGTTAAGCAGTAAAATCTAAACTCAGAAAAACAAGTGTCAAATGTTTTCCCTCATATGTGGAATCTGGGCCGTAAATAGGCATGTGCTCTCCAACAACACCTCTCAACAAGTACATGGAAAATGTATATCCTTCAACAGCACCCCCTTGGAAGGCCCAGTTGGGAGAGGGTTGACGAACCACTCCTCATCCATTTACTGTGAGGAGACAGGCTTTATGGCTCACACACACACGCAGTGGAATAATACCTTGCTTTTCTCCATTGTATGAGTAGCATTCCAAGGAACAGCTGATTTAGCATATGTTATGAAAGAAAAACGGTGTCTCTTTACAAATAACACAAGTTTGCCAAGTTTGCAGTGTCCTTCAGATAATACTTATCTGGACACTCCAGTCCCTGTCCACTTACAATGTCCCCTTGAGATGGCAAGAGCCTTGGAAACACAGAAGGCTGTCTCAGGGACCTATGCTGAGCCCTCTACGTTTTCTTAAAGATGATACACCTGTGAAGACAATGGGAGCCAAATTACATTCTTTGAGCAGGAATTTGACGAAAGACCTCGGGTGTCTCAGTATTTTTTTTCATAGTCAAAATTATTATGTTGGGCAAATGCACTTATTTAATTGAGTCACCCACAGAGGCCAGATTCAGGGACAAGCAAATTTATTGGGGGCCGGTCATGGGCACCAGTACATGACCAAGCACTGACCCCAAAGGGCAGGAGGGCAGAAGAGTTATGCAGTTCTAGTTCTAGGTCTAGTTCTGGGTCTGGGGGAGGTGGTTCTGATATAATTTAGTGCCACTACAGAAATACTGCAAAGCAGGGGCTTAGCTTGTGACAGAGGAACAAACGTGTTTGACATTTTACATAGGGGACAAGCAGTCTTATGACAGAGCATGGGGTGGTATTGGATTAGGTATCTATGACAACATTTACAAGAAACAAATTTAAGGAAACAGAAACTTAAAATGGCACTAGAACACAAAATGGTGCTGGTTTAGTTTTATTTCCCATATCAATTATGGTACCTTTGAATAGGTCACAGTTTCCTCTGTCACCAGTCTCTTTGCTCTATGTTGTTATTCAGACCATTTCTTTTATTTATTACTTCATTCAATAAATATTACAGGATATCTACACGAGACCATATGAGGCTAAATTTCAACCAGTATTGGAATAAGGCTTTGTTAATATTCACTAGTTATATTTGCACTGAAGTTTAAAGTTTACAAAATGCTTTTATACATATCTACTGCTTGATCTTCACAGCAACCCTAAAACTAAACAAAATCATTAATTTGTGCATTAGAAATCATTGAATTAGGGAGACAGTCAGTTTACACCCATGGCTACTATTCTTGTAGTCTTAGAACAACCAGTACTACATTACAATTGTAAATTGACCCTTCCCTGGTATTTTATGTTACTCCTAACAGAATAGTAATCTTACAGCAACTGCCTCAGCACCATCGCTGTAAAAGGCTTCAGCAGGTCTACTTGCAGTTTGACTGCTACAGTGCTTCTCAATTCAGCCTGCACATTATGTACACCAGGCCAGAACCCAACCATCAGAGATTCTGATGCAATTGATATGGGGTAGGTGTCAGCCAACACCTGCTAATTCTAATGAGCAACTAGGGACTAGAACAACTGAGACACACAGGCAGTCTGTGCCAAGAGAATGATATATTCCCTCTGCTCAAAAGTGATGCCTGAGCCTGGCAGGGTGGCGCACACCTGTAATCCCAGCACTCAGGAGGCTGAGCTAGAAGGATCATCATGAGTTGAAGGCCAGTCTGTGCTTCATAATGAGTTCAAGGCCAGCCTGAACTCTATAGTAAGACCTGGTCAAACAAACAACAATAAGTAATGCCAGAGTCTTTAATCTGGAGGCAAAACAAACAGGGAACTGCCCTTCTTTTTCTTTTCAAAAGCAGAAGTATTTTCTCCCCCTTTCTGAAGTCAGGATTGTTGTAGCATTTTGCTTTAACTTTGTAACCCAGGGAAAGGTCTTTGCAGTGGGTTACCACTATGGCTATTCTGCCTGGATGCTGCAGGCCCCAGCTGTGGGTTGTTCATACCTGCTCAGAAAAAGAAGCTCCCTGGAAACACAAAAACTTTGATGGGAGTAGACATGTATAACAGTGTCACAGTGCAATGAGCCTCTCTATTCTGAGGGTTTCAAAACACCCATTTAACCTGTGTTGAGCAAAATACCTCAAAGAACACGTAGAAATTTATACCATTAAGTTATGGTGACATTTAAAACTGGAATTTATACACTTTGATCCCAGGAAACTACTCTTGGATATATTTAAAATGATGTCCAATTATTTTTTAAGCTTATATATTTAGTTTTTCATTTTAAAGAGAAAAGAACAAAAACAAAATAATAAAAAAGACAAAAACAAAACAACACAAAAACTATAAAAATGATGAAGAATTTCTAAATAAGATGATAGGAAATCAACAATGGTTGTTGTATTACTTATTGTTATCTTCAAAGTAGTTGCTCAAGTTATGAGATGTAGGTATGCAAGACTGATCAAACAATTAAACATTAACTGTTCCTTTCAATAAACCAATAGAAATTAGTAGTACAATTATCTTAGCTATCTTGCATGTGTGCGCGTGTGTGTGTGTGTATATTCCCTTCTTTCTTTCTTTTCTTCTTTCTCTCATCCCAGCTGTTCTTTCTTAATAAGCAGTTTCTTTCCCTTTCAAAATATCTATTGTACCTTTCAGTTTTATTTACTCTTTCAGGTTCTTACACTAGGGAGACAATATGGTGTTTACACATGTGGGTCTGACTTCTTTCACTTATGAGTGTGGCCTCCCATTTACCTATAAAAGCCTCGAGCTTATCCTTCTTTAGAGCTGAGTAACATTCTGTTATGGTTTTTGTCTGTGTGTCCCCCCAAAGCCTCCTGCGGCCCATGGGTAAGCTATTAGAGTTGAATGACTGTGGGTGTGAGAGCTACACCCACCCTGGGGTGGATAGTTTGCATATGTAAGGGAGAGGAAGAAGCTGCTTGAGGCTATTCCTCCTCCATTCCGCCCTGGTGTGTGTGTGGTGGCGGCTTAGCTGTGGCTGCCGTCCTGAGATGCAGCCCTCCCCATGTGCCACTCTGCCTGATAATCTGCCAAGTACGGGCTGAGACTTCCACGAACTGTAAGCGAAATAAACCTTTCCCTCCTTAATTTTGGGCATCAGGTATTTTGTCCCAGCAGCGAGAAAAAAGTAACCAAGACACATTCCATTGTATAAAAATACATTTCCCTTCTCCACTACTCAGTTGATGGGCATTTGGGTTGTTTCAAAGGTTTTGCTATGACAAATTGTGCTGCTATACTCATGGGTGCACATATATAGCTGTAGTATGATGTTTTTAATTTTTCTGGGAAAATACCCAGAAGAGGAATGGCTGGGATAAATGAGACCTCTAATCACAATTTTTTAAGGAATCTCCAGGATGATTTCCAAAGTGGTTGCACAAGTCTACATTGCCACCAACAGTGGAGAAGTGTTCCCTTTTTCCCACAGCCCCTCCAGCATTTGTTGTTGGTTGATTTCTTGATGGTAGCCATTCTCACTGGGGTGAGATAAAATCTCAGTGTTGTTTTTTTGTTTTTAAATAAAAGGAGGAAAACATTAATAGACAACATTTTACAAAATAGCAAAAGAACAGTACAGACAATACACAGTTACAAAGTGGTAGGAAATTAACAATGATTGTTGTATTACATATTGATATCTTCAGAGTGGTTTCTCATGAACACAAAGACAGGCAATATTGATCAATCAAGGACTCATTGACAGTTTCTTTCAGCAAAGAAATA